CCATTGGAATAACAAAGCAAAACAGAGTTGCCATATGGGCACGAACATACCGGCCGCCTTGAACGACTGGGATAAGTTCGAAATTAAATTCAAGTTTCAAAATTGCATAAGTATCTATCAAGATCGTACAAATATTACAAAGTAAATATATCATTTTGCGTTGGCAAAAGCGTCAGTTTCGCAATAGGCCGCACCAATTCTCCGTCCGCCGTCTTCAGCCTTACTACGCGTACCAGTCCATCCGCACCAGGATGACACTGAGTTACACGCCCAAGTCGCCATTTAGTGGGTGGGCTATTCGAATCGTGAATGATAACAACGTCATCTTCTTTCAGGTTCGAGGAGGGGCGAAACCATTTAACACGTTGTTGTAGGTTGACGACATATTCGTTTCGCCAACGTGACCAAAAATGTTGCCGCATTGCACTAATGGCTTGCCATCGTTGATGTAACGTCCCTGAGAAATTTTCGGTGTCAGGTTCAGGCAGCGCCTTGATTGGCTCACCAATCAAGAAATGACCAGGAGTGAGGATTTCCAAATCATCAGCACTAGCAGAGTGCCAATAGAGCGGTCGCGAGTTGACACAAGCTTCCACCTCCGTTAAAAGCGTAGCAAGTTCTTCGTATGTTAATAAAGAGCTACCGAGAGCACGCTTTAAGTGGTATTGTACTCGCTTCACACCTGCCTCCCAATAACCACCCATATGTGGTGCGCTTGGCGGATTAAAGTGCCATGTTATTTGCATGTTCGCCAAATACGAGGTAAGCCTTTCATCTCTCATGCAACGGCGGTAGGCGGCGTATAACTCTCTTTCGGCACCAACGAAATTAGTGCCGTTGTCCGAGTATACATGCTGACAATAACCTCTTCTGTTTACAAATCTAGAGAGAGCGGCGACAAACGCAGGTGAAGAGAGATCTCCAACGAGCTCGAGGTGCATTGCACCAGTACTCATGCATATGAAACTGCATATATACGCCTTGCATGATTTGGCTCCTCTGGCTCGTGAAAACTTTATAAAATAGGGTCCCGCAAAGTCGACGGCGCTGTGCAGAAAACATCGAGAACTCGTAAGGCGGCTGCTTGGTAGATCCGACATTACTTGACCCAACGGTCGGCGGTTAATGCGTTTACATTTTACACATTTGTGGTAGATTGCGCGAACAAGATTACGAGAACCCAGAACCCAAAAGCGACGTTGTAGAACTGTTTGCATGATTTGCGGGCCGGCGTGGAGCGTACTGCGGTGAATATCGGATATTATGAGTTTCGCCAGCGACGAGTTCTTCGGTAAGATTATCGGGTGCTTGACGTCGGTGGAGACAGAAGCTCGTTTTATTCGTCCGCCAACACGGAGAATGCCATCAACATCCAAAAATGGTTGAAGGCGGATTAGACGACTTCGTAATGGTATTTGTTTGGTTAACCTGCAACAAGTAATTTCCTTTGGAAAAGCGTTAGTTTGGATATACTTTACCAGTGCATTTTCAGCGTGGAGAATTTCACTGCTGGTGAGGGCGCCAGTAGTGCGTTGACTGCTAATTGTTCTTAAGTTGTTGACGAAACGTAGAGCATAGGCTGTAATTCTCTTGAGTTTAATATACGAATGATACCTTGAAAATAGTTCCCAATCTTCTGCAGTTTGGGTGAGGTGTGATGCGGATTTGGTCGCTCGTAATTCGGAACTTATGTTCGAGTTACGCCTTGTCAGCAACTCCAAATCTTCTGTTGCTTGATGCTGCCACTGATCGTCATTTTCAGCTAACCAACTTGGCCCTTGCCACCAAAGATAATGGGCGAGTAGATTCGACGGAGCCAAGCCTCTAGACGCGCAGTCAGCTGGATTGTGCTCTGAGCGGACGTGTCTCCAGCACTCAGGAGCTAGAACTTCTTGTACTGCGGCTACGCGATTCGCAACGAAGACTGACCATCGACTTGGGTGACTCTGTAACCAAGCTAGCGTTATAGTTGAGTCGGTCCACGCGTATAAATTTTTCATATTGCAACCGAAACTCAACTGAACCTGCTTGACAAGCTTGGCGCCTAAATGCGCTGCGCACAATTCCAGACGTGGGAGAGTAGTACTTTTTAAAGGTGCGACCTTCGCGCGCGCGGCGACTGGAACTACCTTAAAAGTTCCATCGGGTAGTTGCGTGCGGCAGTAGAGTACCGCAGCGTAGGCACGTTGAGATGCATCCGTGAAAACGTGGTATTCAGCATGCTCGACGATTTCACTGGTACCAATCCAACGATTTAGCTTAAGAGCCGTGAGTTTAGGTAGTTGCTGACGGTGAGAGAGCCACCCTTCAGCGACATCGGCGGGCACCGGTTCATCCCAATCAACGTCCGCTCGCCAGATTCGCTGGAGCCAAATTTTCGAGAGTATAGTGCACGGCGCGATTAGCCCGAGTGGGTCGAAAACTTTACTCGAATCTGAGAGAAAAACTCTTTTCGTGAGAATTGCAGGCAGTGGGGTCAAATTCACTGCAATCGATAAACAATCGTCGCTTGTGTTCCAAATGATTCCTAGGGTGCGTACTTCATCGCCGTCAGCTAACAGATGTGAAATTTGCTTTGACGCATGCGGTATTTTCTCCCTAAGCTCGTCGCAATTTGTAGCCCACTTCCGTAATTCGAAGCCAGCGTTAGACAGAACTATGGTAACGTCATTTCGTAGCTTCATGAGGTTGTCGACAGAAAATGAGCCTGTGAGAAGATCATCCATGTAGAAGTCGCGCATGATGACAACAGTTGCTTCTTTGTGCGTTTCGATGGCATCCAAAGCGGATTGGTGCAGAGATCGTACGGCCAAGTGGGAAGCTGCGGCGACGCCGTAGGTTACACGAAGCATGCGATAGTCCCGGATAGGTTCGGTTGGGTCGTCACGCCAAACTATGCGTTGGTAGTCCACATCTTGTTCTGCCACGTATACCTGTCGATACATTTTTTCGACATCGGCCATTATTGCGTAACGATGAGTCCGGAACCGCACCATTATAGAAAACAGATCCTCTTGTAATTGCGGGCCTATCATTAGTGCATCGTTGAGCGAGAAACCGGATGTGGTTTTACATGAGGCGTAGAACACCACTCTCAGTTTAGTGGTGGAGCTGGTGTTCTTTACTACAGCGTGGTGTGGCATGTAGTAACTTTTATGCGGTTGAGCGTTGCCTACGAGCTCCATGTGGCCCATATTTAAAAGCTCCTGCATAAATTCTGCGTATTGACGGCGTAGCTCCTCATCAACAGCGAAACGTTTTTCCATTCTTAGCAGACTTCTTACGGATATGTTTCTCGACTCACCTAAAGGCACGGATTCCTTTAACGGTAGGCGTACGATGTAACGACCGTCTTCAGCGCGGCGACAATGCTTGCGAAAATGCCCTTCACAAGCCTCCTCTTCGACAGTTAAGTATCGCTTGGGGGGAAACTCTTCGAGCTCCCAAAACTTACTCACCATTCGGATGAGTTGCTCATCACAGTGCAGGGATAAAACTCCCGCACTTGGGCTGGATGAACGCATGGCCTTTCCGAAAAGTACCCAACCGAAAACTGTGTTTTGCGCCATGGGTGTGTCAGGTGGCCCTTTGCAGAGACCGGTTAACAGGAATTTATCCATCTCATCCATCCCTATTAACACATCAATAGGACCAGGTTTGGCGTAATGCTGATCAGCAAGAGCGAGATTTCGTAAGTGCGGCCAAGACGACATCTGTACACAAACGCTGGGAAGATCGTTTGTAATCTTCGATAAAATAAGCGAGTTGATTGTGAAATGCTGGTCAAGAGATCGGGGCGCAAGTGAAAGAATAGTCTCACCCTTAACTTTACCGCCATCTGTTGAACCAATACCTGTGACATGAGCTGCCGAAGGTTTCCTTTGTAGACGGAGGCGTTGAATACAGGCCTCTGTCACGAAGGATGCATGTGAGCCGTTGTCAAACAACACCCGAGCAGGTTGCCATCGACCTGCATGATCTTGCAAATATATTTCTGCGGTTGCCAATAAAATTGCCTTGTCAGCTTCAGCGACGTGAGATGCTACGCAACCAGAATGCGGTACATCCGAGCTAGCATTATGTATACGCGCCGTAGTAGAGTCATCGATTGTAGATGACGTAGTCGATTGTTGCACAAGTAGATTGCCTTGCTGCTTTACAAACGGAGAAGCGTGTACATTCAGCTCATCGCTGGTCGTGTCATCTTCGCGGCAGCCGTGTAGTAATGTATGATGACGACGACGGCATATGTTACAAGTTGATAAACTGCGACATTTTGCTTGAAAGTGGCCTTTGCTCAGACAGTTGAGACAAACATTATGTTTCTTGACCAATGCAAACCGGGCAGCAGCATTTAATTTACGGAAAGTTGGGCAGGCGTAAATTTTGTGTTTGGCGTTGCAATGGAAACATGAGGGTGAACTGGCTCCTGCATCAACCAGGTTGGATGAGGAGGTGTGTTGCTCACCAATCGCATGGAGCACGTTTGTTGTAGTCTTCGCCGCAGTTTTGCTGAGCTGGCGCGCTCCTTGCGCTGAGGTTGACAGCGCACCACTCGTCGATACCATCTCTAGCGAACGCGCACGTGTTTCCAAAAACTCGACCAACTCTTCAAAAGTAGGTAAAACATCCCTCACCAATGACAGCTCCCATTGTTTCCGGGTTTCGTAAGCCAACTTCGAAACGGTAAGGTGGACAAGCCAATCGTCCCAAAACTCCACAGGCCGACCTAAAGCACGTAGCGAGCCAACGTGTTGCATGGTAGCGTTTAAAACTTGCTTAATGGCCTTACCAGTATCTCGAGATGCCTTTTCAATTGCAAAAATTGCTTTGAAGTGACCATCAACCATGACACGCAAAACCTTGTAACGCGTGGTGAGTAGATCCCACGCAGCATTGTAGTTGCCATCACAAATCTGTAGACTGCTTACAAGTTGGAGCGCCTCACCTTGAAGACAATTGCGCAAATAATGCAATTTTTGACTAGCAGACAAACTCGCGTTCGTGTGTACGAGCGACTGGAACGCGTCGAAAAAGGCTAACCAATTTGTAGGGTCTCCACTGAAAGTCGGCAGCTGTAACTTGGGCAGTTGAACTGGCGAGGACGTGAAACTTGTTGATGTGGAAGGGCGCGGTTGCTCAGGGCTTCCGATGAGGCGTTTAAAATTCGCCTTTGCTGTGATGTACCACTCTTCTGCCTGCGTGCGTGATTGCTCTTCAACCGGCGCACTTTCTTCGCCGCACAACAACTCTACTTCTTGTTGAGCGTCAGCGAATCTGACCCACTGCTCCTCGAGAAGCTGAAGATACGTTTCTACTGCTTCTTTGTCCAATGCCAACGCATCATTTTTGCTGATTACAACATATCGTTTGATTGCGTTTAATGCAGAATCACGCACCTTCACTTTGGACATGGCGTGATGTATACAATTGGGGTTATGTCACACACGTGTAAATGTTGTTACGAAGTTTGCGCTTAAAATCGCACTTATGCATGCGAGAGCGTGGAAATCAATTTATAAGCGTTTTTGCTCTTGGTTTTAAATGTTCTTAAGCCAGTACAAGCTTGTTAAAACGTATTTAAGGACCGTATTTTGACCCAAATTAATCAACGCGATCCGGGACGAAGGACCAATATGTTGCGTACAAAAGCGAAAAAGCGTATTATTACAAAAGTCCGATTG